ACTTCCATAGATCCCTAGGGCATGGACAGAATGCAGCCAAGCTCTTTGCTAAGGCATAATATGTGTCACCTTTGTTCCAGTTCCCACTAAGTTCCTCATTACCATCCAAGACCTGGGCAGCCTGGACATCATTATCTATATCACTATCAGAATTTTAGTCACAACTTTTAACCAGTCTCTAAGAAGTTCCAATTTTTCCCTCATCTTTCTGTCTTCTGAGCCCTCCAAACTCTTCCAACCTCTTCCCATTACCTTGTTCCAAAGTCAGTTCCACATTTTCAGATATCTTTATAACAAAACCCCACTCCTGGTACCAATTTTCTGTTTTAGCTCATTCTTGCATTACTATAAAGAAATACCTGAGACTGGGTAATTTATAAAGAAAAGAGGTTTAATCGGTTCACAGTTCTGTAGGCTTTATAGGAAACATGGTGCTGACATCTACTTGGCTTCTGGGGTGGCTTTGGGAAGCTTATAATCACGGAAGAAGGCGAAGGGGAAACAGGCATGTCACATGGTGAAAGCAGGAGCAAGACAGTGAGAGTAGGGGGCAGGTGCCACACATTTTTGTGACCAGATCTCATGTGAACTCAGAGCGAGAGTTATCACCAAGGGGATGGTCCAAGCCATCCATGAGGGATCCACCCCCATGATCTAAACACCTCCCACCAGGCCCATCTCCAACACTGGGTGTTACAACTCAACATGAGATCTATGCAGGGACAAATATCCAAACTCTATGATATATTTATGCTCGGCCACTGCCTATTCCTTAACACAATATGTTAAGTGAAAATAAACATTATGGTTTGCCATTTAACCAGAAGTAGAAAGTTCAACAGCACATCCTCATCTCCAATGCTGCCAGACACGTAACTAGGTGAGGTAGATATGAGCTTCCTTTTCATAAGAAAATTCAAATGCTTTTATAAAGTTTTTCACTGCCTCTAGAAAAGCAGAAGCCTTTACAAAGGAGATTTGCTTTATGTTAATTATGCAAAATCAAGGGTTACTAAGAACATGAGACCAAGTGAATGAAAGAAGCTGAGGAATATATCACTTCATCTTACTCTAATACTCAAATGCCAGAGAAATTATTTCTGGACAGAGTATGGAGCCACATAAATAAAACACTCTCACCTTAAAAATTCAGCTACTTGGGAGGCTGAGGCAGGAGAATCACTTGAGCCTGGGAGGCGGAGGTTTCAGTGAGCCAACATCGTGCCACTGCACTCCAGTGTGGGTTACAGAGTGAGACTCCATCTCAAAAAAACAAACAACAACAACAAAAATTCCTGCTCCTTTTTTGTATTATGGATAGATATATCAACTTTATGGGTGACAATTCTATTGGAAAGGATGGTGAATGTAATGAATAACACCATCAAATCCAAAAGGTCTTGATAAGCTAGTAACAATGGGCCAATTGTAACAGATGAAATGTGACAGATATAAGATCTTCCTCTTTTATCAAAAAATGAATTGCAAAGCTACGGAATCCAGGGAAAGTTTAACAATAACATGAAATAACATAGTACTTTTCTGAAAGCAAGATTAATATGATGTCACTGTCAAAAAAATGATGCTTTGATCATGGACTGCATCATTAGAGTAACGGTATCATTTCCACTCAGAAGGGCATGCTTTTCTAGGAGGCATATTGGAATATCTGGGAGATGTGTACCTGAAATTGAGGAAAGCATATTTTAAAATTAAAAATACAGAAAGAAGAGACAAAATGAAGCTTTACAAAATCTTCCAGGCTAGGCCTCTAGGAAACAAGCAGTGATTCTTTAGTGGGTTAGGGGATGGTCAGGCTTGGGAGAATGATATTTTCATGTATAGCAAAGGGAAGTAGTTATTGAGTAATTCAGTGTTTGAGTAATTCAGCTGGAAGAAGGAGAAAAGAGTCGACTCTACTCTCATTAGTGAGACCCATCGTATATCCTCTGGTTCTGCTTTACATTTAATTCACTTGTTTCCAAATGTTTATTGAGCATCAGCTATGTGACATGTACTAAATGCACTGAGGATAAAGCAGAGAACAAGACAGCCATACAAGACTATCAGCTGATGTCTCCCGACTTCACAAAGCACACTTCCCAGCTCCATCTATCTGCTTGATTTCCTGAGCCAGTCCCGAAGCAAAAACCTTAATATTCTTATCTGGTGAAGCATACATTGAGCCAGCTTCCCGAATCTAATGGCCAAGGGATAAGTTTCCTGATTCCAAATTGTGTCACCATGAAGTTTCACTGCTTGCAATCAGGACCCTGAACAGACTAACAATCATCCTAGCAAATTCATCAAACCTGAGTTTGGGTGTGGGAACCCTGAATGACAGCTGGTCAGTCAGAAGTATAGGTGACAGCCAACCTAAATTGTGGAAATGAACACTTAACTTGTGGGATTTGACTGTAAGTTGAGGTAGACAGTATCAGAATCAGTTCAACTGTAAGACACCTAGGTGGTGTCTGCTGGAGAATTGTTTCACGTGTGGGAGAATCTCTGGTGTCAGAAGTGTTGAGCCTGTGAGAGTAGCAGAAACAGTTTGGTTTTTCCTGTCTCAAACAGGAGTGAAAACAAATTCCTATGAAACAGGAGTGAATGGAGGCATGCAGCTCAAAATAACTTCGAGAGAGAAATGCAGGAGGGCTGGGACTGTCTCTGTTCCAGGTGTTATCTGGATGTGGGGCTGCCAGGTGCAGTGTGAGGGGCTAAAACCAAAGTCACGAGTTGCCCTAACTGGCACTCACAATCCACTGTTTCCCTCCACCCCCAAAAGGTAGCCAGGTGATGATCTGCAAGCATTACGCTGGGTTCTTACTTCTAAAGAAATTAAACTATCAGTCTAGGGATCTAGGAGGAAAACAATACACACAAACAAGAGACCACTCCAGCTATCTAGAAAAACCAGTTCAGATCTTCACACTTGAACTCAAAAGGACAACCAAGAATCCATCACCAGAGAGGGGAAGAATCTTTCTTTTCTAAGGGAAAGACTAGATAAATACACATAAGAATGGACTCCTGAAGAAACACAACTGGGTGAACAGAAGAGAGGTTTAAAAACTATTATCCTCAGTGATACTTGAGAAGAGAGTACATTCATGAAACAAACGCAGGGTGTTATTATAGAGAAGACTGCCACTGGCAGTCCAATAGGACTGGTGTCCTTAGAAGAGGAAGAGACACCAAGTGTGTGATTGCACAGAGAAAATGCCCTGGAGGGACACCAAGAGAAGACAGTCATCCACAAGGCAAGGGGAGAGGTCACAGGATAAATCAAATCTGCTGGCACCTTCATCTTGAACTTCCAGGATTGTGAGAAATTTCTGTCGTTTAAGCCATCCAGGTTGTGGTATATTGTTACGACAGCCCTAGCCGACTAACCCAGGCACTAATGTCTTCAGCCTACATAGTCAAGATTCACTATTAGAAATGGATGGAACAAGAAAAATTCTGATTTTTCCAAAACAGGACTTTTGCTTTAAAAGAGTTAATGATTCAAAAAATAAATATGTAAGGAGATTACCTTACCAACTAATACGCATAGATGAAATTTATGAAGGTAGAAAATCATCAGTGGATGCTAAAACGAGTGGGTAAAAATTAGATGAGGAATGGGACGCGATCAAGTAGCACCTCCCCCCAGCATTGTTTTTAATCATAAAGAAAAAAGTAGTAACTTTATGGTGAAGAAACCTGGCAGACACTACCTTACCTAAGTGAACATCACCTATACTGGGAGTAACCGATGTCATTTGTACCTTGATATCATACAGTGGAAAAGACACATCGCTGTAGTGGTGTTTCTCCAAAAATTCATAACCTGAAAGGGAACATCAAACTCACTTTAAAGGATATTCCACACAACACCTGGTCTGTACTCTTAGATAATGTCTAGTTCAATAAACATAAAAGCCAAGAACGGTTCCAGATCAAAGAAGACTAATGCAGGAATGACCCTTTCATCCGGAATGTTTTTTACGCAGTAAATGTTTGCTTTTAAGAGTGCAGATCCTTTTTTTATCCAATTGGTTCGGAGCTATAATTACATGATTTTACCACATCTTCTTAAGGCTTTGATCCCTGCTACAATCTACAATATATACATGCATACGTGTGGTATCCGTCTATCATCAATTTAGGTGACAATAGGAGAAAAGTGCCTGGTGCCAATCTTTATTCCATAGTATGAAATAGTCTCTCAGGACAGGGTTTTTGGTGAAAGAGGCATAGGATATTGCTGGGTGACTGCGACTGGGTCAGGAAATAGGGAGGCAGAGGGCAGCAGTTTTGCTAGAACTTAAAATTTGGTTGCTTTTGGAAGAGGAAGCGGGAGATTCCTGGAAGCCAGAACGTCATGTCTCACAGATGTAAGTCATAGTTGGGAAAGACACATCGCTTTAGTGGTGTTTTCAAACGACTTTTGAAATACTAGGGTTTTACTTGTAGCTTCTATCCCTGAGGGTAGTTCCTGCTGCTCAAGAGCAAAAGGGTCAGGGTTTGTAAAAGCCAGCCTTAGAAACCTATTGAAAAAGATTTCCAGCGGGGCGCTGGGGAAACGCAGACAGCGCCGGAATCCCTGCCTGGAGAAGCTCTTAACGGGACGGGAAGCGGCGTGCCCCACAAGGTCCCTCAGAGGCACATTGTGGAGACGGGACGCAGGGTAGCAACTTCTGGCGAGTGGAGCCGCTATTACAGAAGATAAATATACGGAGCCAATTTACTGCCAGCTTTCGCAACACCCACCCTCAATCACCACCCTTCCTGACGCAGTCACGCCACAAACTTCCTCGCTTCCGCCCACAGCCCTCTGGGCTTCAACCATCAACTGAGCATGCGCCAAGTCTAGTGCGCACGCGCCAACTTTGGCCCAATCAGAGTTCCAACCCGTGGGGTGGACGCCACGGGGATAAACTAACCTCAGCGTGGGGCGGGGTCTCGAAGCGAATAACGAACGTGATTGGCCAGCCTCTAGCACATACTTTTAAGGGCGGAGCCTGGCTCAGAAGCCACGTCTAGCGAGCTGTTTTCCTAATATGGGTAGCGTCGGGCGTGGAGCTGTCAGCTGAGCTGTGTGCGCCTGCGCGGGGTGTCGAGACAGGGCGTGTTCGCGGTTCAGTGCCGGTGTTTCGCGGGGCGAGGGCGTCTCTCGCAGCCGGAGTGCGTCCTGCTGAAGCCTGTGGTTGCACGCCTACCCTCTTAGGGGCTACCTTCCTCGGTGAGTGTGTGCGGCGTGGCACTTGGGGTTGCTTCTCGCTGCGTTGCCGGAGCGGGGCTGGACCCTTCCCACTCCCCTGCCCTACCCCATCCCCTCCCCGCACCCGGACCAACCCCTGGGACGCCCACCCGCTCCAACCCTGGGGAAGCCTCAGAGTGGCAGCGAAGACCTCTTTCCTTTCCGCCCCTGCGCTTGCTGCCATCGCCCACGTGTTTTGTTGTTTGGTGCAGACCATGTCCAAGTCTCTGAAGAAGTTGGTGGAGGAGAGCCGGGAGAAGAACCAGCCCGAAGTGGACATGAGTGACCGGGGCATCTCCAACATGCTGGATGTCAACGGCCTCTGTGAGTTCTCGGGCAGGACCCTCCCGTGGATGAGCCGGAAGGCTTTCTAAGTTTGCCAGTTCACTGCTGGTCCTGCTGTGAGCGATTGTACTGGGTTAGACCCCAGCCCCTGCTTGCAAACATCACTTGTCAGGGGCTTCGCGCAGAGGGTTTGCAGTAGGATTTGTTCTGTTCCACCTGGAAAACGATCCTGAGAGTCCACGATGAGAATCACAGACAGCTGTGCCTCATCGGTTGTCTCTGCTGTATGGCATTGAGGTGGATTTTCCACATAGTTTGCTTAATAGCCACTTTATTTTTGAGAATTAATTTTGAGTCCTTCCTGTCTCCTAATAGTCTGTGTCCATGAACAAATGACACACAAAAGTTCCATGATTAATAAGCATTCTTGTGCCTGGAGCAGTTTAAGCATTTCTTGAATCTTTACATTCTTCTGCGTATTTATTTTCCGAACTTGGTTCAGGCTTTTCTTACCTCCTCAGGCTGTGATGAAATCCTCCTAAATTGCCCTCTTGCCTTCAGTTTCACTGCCCAGTTTAATCACCGGGTCACTTTCAGTGTTATTTTCCTGTAATCCCCGTCTGTGGTGTTACCCTCTCCCTTAAAATCAGGGATTGCAAATTCACGTGCCTCCAAGTGAGGGCGGTCAGGGGCGGTCATGGACTAGGTGATAGGTATCCCACCTGAAGGGGCCAGCTGCTGCACCTGCTACTCTGCCACATGTCACCATAGGAATGTTGGCCCAGTGTGCCAGATTATTCTCTTAAAGGAGTCAAGATTCTATATTTTTATGTGAAATTTGCTAATTTTTAGATGTTGGCTAGTAATTTCAATATTTGAAAAACCTGTGATAAGTGAGATAAAGCACTTCCTCGGGCTGACGTGGCTTTGGTTTAAACCCTCTCCATACTTCTCCAGGTTGTCTGTTACCGACGGTAATGCTCCAGGTTTCTTTCTGAGTCTGAACACAACCTTACCCTTCCATGCAGTTGGCATTCCAGCCGTTCTGAACCTATTGCTCTATCTGGACCAGAGCCTACTTGTTCAGACCTTTGTGCCTTTACGAATTCTGTTTTCCCTTCTTCTCAGTCTTTTGCACCCGAAATCCTTTTACTTCTAAGAGTCAGCTTAGACTATCACCACCTGTGTAAAATCTTCTCCGTCTGCACCAAGCTAACATAGCCAGTCCCTCTTCTGTGAAGTTGGACATGTGCGTTGCTTTGTGACTCCTGTCACATAGGATTGTATGTTTTTTTTTGTTTGTTTGTTTGTTTTTTAAATCTAGAAGTCTCTCTTCTCCGCTGGGACTTTGGGAAGACAAAAACCGTGCAATATTCATGCTTGCATTTTTTTTTCTTTTATAGTAGTGCCTGGAGCACAGCAGATGCTCAAAAATAGTTGAGGAATGAAGAAAATGAAAGAATGATGGATTAGGCCTGTGAGTTTGAGATATCAGGTCCAGGATGTGACGAGAGAAGAAGGGAGATGTTCAGGAGACCCTGAGAGGTGATGGATAGCCATTTAGGCATGGAGAGAACGGCAGAGTCGGTTTACTGTGAATCCATGGTTTTCACGGTTTGAAAACCTGCCTGCGACAGAGGTTGGAGTTGATGCTGTTGATATGTCTTGGCAGAAGGAAAAGGGAGGAAACGTAGATTTGTGTTCCATAGGCTTTATGAAAATACGTGCCATTAAACTGAGTTTGTGTACTAGTGAGCGTCTCAGCCTTGGTGTGTGTTGGTCTCTTGCATTCCGTAAGGGTCCTTGCTGTCAGCAACTGAGCAGATGCCTCTGGAGTTGGATATCTGAGTGTACCATTGCCTCTGCCTGGCTCTGCCATGACCATGGTCATTAGTGGGGGCACTGTTGATACAGAGGAGAAAGAGAAGGGGATAAGGAAGATGATGCCTTGTACAGCAGGACTCTTGGCCCCGCGGCTTTCCTCCCTCCAGCGCTCGTTCTCACTGGGTAGATGAGAGGCTGCTTTCAGCACAGGAACTTTATACCCTTCGGCTTTTGAAGAGGAGACTTTATGTAATATTTAGAAATGGGGAGAATGGCTTAGCTATTTCGGTTCAGCTCTGTTATCTCTTTGAAGCTTTGGCTTTTATTAAGGAAGAAAAGATAGCCACTTGCTTCCTGAAATATATTTCCGGTGTAACACTGGGTGATGAAAAGTGAGACCATTCTTAAATTTTCCTAAAGAAGTAGCTAATAAAGAATAATAGTACTTTTTGGGAAGTTGGGTGGAAGTGAATTTGGAGATTTCCAGATTCCACCTCCTCTGGCTTCTGTAGCATTGATCCAAGGCTGCTCTCTGCAAACTCCCTGACCTGGGGACTCCTCAGAGCCTAGGGGGTTCCAGGATGCTCTTCGGAGCCTCCACCAGGGCTCAGTTCTCAGCAGTGCACACACAGTGACACAGTGCTTAATATATACAAGTAGTAAAATACTTCACATGGCTCCATTAATTACAAGTGTAAGAATTTTTTTTTCCCCCCTGAAAACAGGGTGTCACTCTGTCACCCAGGCTGGAATGCAGTGGTGCAGTCACAGCTCACTGTGGCCTCAACCTCCCAGGCTCAAGCGATCCTCACACCTTAGCCTCCTGAGTAGCTGGGACTATAGGTACACACCACCACGCCTGGCTAATGGTTTTATTTTTTTGTAGAGATGGGGTCTTGCTATGCTGCCCGGGCTGGCCTCAAGCTTGTGGGCTAAAGGAGTGCCCCCATCTTGGCCTCCTAAAGTGCTGGTGTTACAGATGTGAGCCACCACACCCAACCTACATGTTTCTTTACTGATAAAATCTTAGCTGTAACCAGGAAGTTTTATATATTAGTATCCAGCTTAAACACAAGGAACAGTTAACTTGCATGCACAGAGAATAGCTGTTTCTTGCATCTCAGGCTTTCTCTTCATTCTTACTTTAATTTCTCAAGAGGTAAGAATTAAGCTTTGAAGATAAAAGTAAGGTTTTGTACTACTAAGCGTATGAGATGCCCGTCTTTCTTCTTGGGAGAGTTGTATCTTCTAACGCAGCACTTCCTTAGAGACAGCAAATTACCTTTGAAAGATGTTTTGAGGAGTTTAGGTACCAAGAGCTTTCTGATGAGGAAAACTTCTTAGGCTGGAGACAGATATCAGACAGGTTCTACATTTTCTAGTAGTCCAGCCAGATTCTAGAAATGCTCACTTCCTACCAGGAGAGGCACAGGAGTACAGAGCATAGGAGGGGAACTTAGATTTGGATAGACGTGAGTTCCAATTCTGCTACTTAGTACTGTGTAACCTTAGAGAAGCTACTTAACCTCTCTGATTCTCAAGTTCCTTAACAAATGGTAACCTAAGTAACCACTTCATAAGACTGGCTTAATGGTTCATATTAAATACAATAATGCACGTTAAATGTTATTACCTAGTTAGTGTTAGATCCAATAATGTACATTAAATGTTAACTATTAATACGAATATCCAGCTATGGGCCCTATGCCTCCGACATACCCAGTTCCAACATAGTCAATGGCCTGAACCAAGAATTTCGCTTTGTTAACTCGACTGGGTAAGGCATTTGTATCAGGTGTTGGAAATTTTTGTGTGGCTTAGTAGAACCTGTAGTGTTTGGTCCTTTTGCCTAAGTTTCTAATTGATTTAGATAGCTATTTATTTAAAATTTGTCCTAATTTATTTCTTTTCCATCATTTTGTTTTCACATGGCATGTAATTTGCACACATATTCTCCTTAAAGCTTCCAAGAAGACCAGTGTGGGCAATAGAGCGAGACCCTATCTCTGCAAAACTTAAAACATGAGCTGAGGGAGATGTGCGAGTCTGCAGTCCCAGCTGTTAGGGAGGCTGCCGTGGGAGGATTGCTTGAGCCCAGGAGTTTGAGTTTGTAGTGAGCTATGATCGTGTTACTAGGCGACAGAACAAGACCTTGTCTCTTTAAAAAAAAAAAAAAAAAGCTTCCAAGCATAATCATAATGCTGCTGATTTTATTCTTTTTATTAAAGAGATTTCACTGCAGAAACTCTTTCCCAGGCAGCAGCTGTCTTCGTCTGGTTGATAAAGTTGATTTTGAAGGGCCCTGTAGTCAGCTTCCATTTCCATAGAGACAGAATCCCAGCTGTAGCCGGAGGAACTTTCTTTCGTTTCTCTTATTTAAGTGTTTACTGATTTTTTAATCTCTTCAAGTGTATTGCCCTCTCTGGGTGGTCACGCCTTTATCATTTTTTTTTCCAAGTTAGACTAAAATATTTTTCAGATAAATCCTCGAAAAGAAAACAACCTGCTTTCAAGGGAGTGGTCTTTCTAAAGGAGCGGGCGAAATAATAAACAAATATGAGCATGGGTTATCTGGAAGAGCTATCTCAAAAGTCTTGCTCAACCTGGAACACATGCTATCCATGTAGACCTGCTTTGGGGGAAAGATAAAAGAGCCAGGGAGAACCTGTAATTTTAGCTATAATCCTTATTAAAATCTTTTTTTAAAATTTTTTAATTTTTTTTTTTCGCTTTTGAGACAGAGTCTTGCTCTGTTGCCCAGGCTGGAGTGCAGTGGCGTGATCTCTGCTCACTGCAGCCTCTACCTCTTAGGTTCAAGTGATTCTCCTGCCTCAGCCTCCCGAGTAGCTGGGATTACAGGCATGCGCCACCACGCCTGGCTAATTTTTGTATTTTTAGTAGAGATGGGGTTTCACCATGTTGGCCAGGCTGGTCTCGAACTTCTGACCTCAGTGATCTGCCCATCTCGGCCTCCCAAAGTTCTGGAATTCCAGGCGTGAGCCACCATGCCCGGCCTTAAAATCGTTTATGTTTTCACTCCTCTAGGTTGTGTGTATGTGCCCACCTTTGTGTTTTTAAACACGCCGCATCTTGACCTGGGGAGCCCTTTTCCTTTTTCTCTCTCCAGTTAGCCCTTGCCCCCTTGTCAGTTAGTGCTTGTTGAAAGAAGGAAGGACTTATCTATTTACATGACTGCATTTCCTGTCACCTCCTTC